CATTTATTAGCGCCGCTCTGGTGTAGAAAGGAGCTTTTCAGCCTTCGCGGAATTAAATCGTTCGCCACAATGGTATGTGGCATAAAGGCTTCGCGAACTTTGCGCTTCTCCAAGCTGTAACAATAAATCGGGGATGCATGTTAGGAGTAAGCGCTAATAGGGGCTCTACCACCCATTCCACACAACGCCATTCCGCTCATTGAATTTACCAACTCATCCCCAGTTTTACTTTTTTCCTCAAACTATCAATTGCGAATCCTCGCCCGGCTCAGGTGTAGAGTATTATTACAAACGCAATGAACGTCGAAATTTCCCTCGGAGTACATAAAGTGCTCGCCAGCCCGACGCTGATGCGTTTCAACCCCCGACATTATCAGCGCTTTTATTTCTCACTTCACAGCGTGCTAACGTCTCACCACAACTCTCTTTCCTCTCGCTAAATTCAGAAACCTGGAGAAGTTGCGGATGATGCGCGTTAAAAACGCCTCTTTAAACGTTTAAAGCATCGACTCATAGCACTGAATGTATTTTCAACGCCCGGAAACCGTTTCTGGTTCTATCTTCAACTTGCATCGTTTACTTTAAGCATGCTTGAAAATTCAACAACCAGAATTAACCTTTTAACGATCTTAAAACAGCTATTAACTTTACTGGCTCCGGATAATGTATTTTAGAGCGTTCTCTCTTAATTCTAAAACTACAGAGTGTACTAGTTGTGTTAATTAATTATCATACCCGCCGTCATCGTTGCAAGTATGCAACCAATATCACAGTATTAGTATTGCAATACGCAAATCGCGTATATTGTGATATTGGTTGCATACAAAGAATTAAAATTTTAATAAAACAATCGTTTTAACTAAATAAGTGGAAACGTTTTTGAAGGTAAAACGATATCTAAATCTTTAGTATTCAGGAGTTGAGCGTCACATTCGAGCACTTAAAACTTTTGGGCACACTTTGAAAACGCAAAGGAGCGAAGGAGTCGCGGACGTTTCGCGCTGAATGTTTAATACTTTAATAAATCACGGGAGCAAAATTTAATCTCCTCGTAGAATTAAAAAACTAAACGCTGCGAATAAAAGTGTCGTTTGCGCTTTGCAGGCGTTAGTTGCGCGGGTCCCACCTAGTTTTTACTTGGTCGTTTGTTATTCGTTCATACTTTGTGTAAGGAACTTTCGCAATCTCGACGTCGTCTTCCGGTTATTTTGCGGCAAGTAATTCGGGAACGGACTCAGCCGTGATTTTCACTGTTATTACTGTGGATTTTGTATTAGAGCCTTTTTAAGTTTTTTGGTAGTTAAAATAGTTAACGGTTGGGTAAAAAAGTACCCTCAAGGACAACCGCTAAGTGCTCCCCTTTTGTTTTTGGGGGTTCACACAACGGATCGATAAAAACTACATTTAGCTTTCAACCATTCTGAATTTTTTTATTCTCTTCTATGTTGTTTGCTAGACTCGGTTGTGCGAAAATTTTTGGGACCTCCGATGTAATAAATTCGAATTTACTGCACATTGTTAATTAATACGGGGCGCCGTTCGAGCGGAGGTAGTGAGTTTAGTAAGGCCAAGTCAGCGGGTTTCGTTGAAAACTCCCGCTTCCTTTCGCCGCGAAAACCAATACAGGGCGTGTTTGCCAACTTCGGACGACGATATAAAACACATATTTCGGGTTATAACGCTTTGTTCATAAACGACAGACATCCAAGACCCGAAACGTATTCAGCTTCAACCCTGCGACGTTATTGTTCCGTTTATAACATCTTTTTTTTTTTAATATTCCCCACCGAAACTCGAATATTAAGAGAAGAAATTGAGGGAAAAGTGGAAATTCTACCTTTTTATATAAAAAGATGCCAGAAAAGTAACAAAGACGGTTTTGTATTACTCCATTAACGACATTGTGCTTAATAATTGTATATGTTTGGTTGCCTACAACAATTTTCATTAAAAATTCATTAAATGAATACGCTAAATATTCACCATCCCCGATTAATTTTCAGGGTGCAATTAATTATTACACCTCGGTTCGCAATTATTACTAGCGTTTGTTGTAAATGTAGCGTAAATCATTTGGAAAACGAACCGGCAACCAGGGAATAATTGAGAGCGAAAAGAAGCGATCCGGTCCATTGTTTGGTCGAGCCGTTTTTCTGTAATCGTCGTTGCATCGCAAAATCAACACGTATTATTAATTCGGCCCAGTGCAATGCCACTCGAAAACAATGCCAAATTAATATTTTGACGCCAATTGCAGCGCACGAGCCTGGGCTATAGTCAAAAGCTTCAATTTATAGCCTGCATTCCTCAATTTTCACTATTCTACAAATTTTCACCACATAAAATAGTTAAAATAGTTCATAAAAGAACTTTACTAAAAATTTTGTAGAAATTTCTAAATAAAAAAATAATCGCATTAATCATTAGATTATTAATTAAATTCGCTTTAAAATGCTTTTTATTTCATTGCTATATCTCAATTCGTTCTTGAGATACAACATTTTAAATATTTGCTTCTAAATTCTTCATCAAATAGACAGAGTTGGGTTTAAAAAGTTAGTGGGAAATAAGAAATTATTTATGGCACGATAAATCTGTATTAAATTTGCTTTAAAATGCTTCTTATTTCATCGTGATGTCTCAATTCATTCTTGAGATACAACATTTTAGTGTTTGCTTCTAAAATCTACATCAAATAGGCAGAGTTGGGTTTAAAAAGTTGTAACAACGATGTTTATGGGAAATGAGAAATTATATATGGCACATTAAATCTGTATTAAATTCGCTTTAAAATGCTCCTTATTTCATCGTGATATCTCAATTCGTTCTTGAGATACAACATTTTAAATTTTTGCTTCAATCTACATCAAATAGACAAAGTTGGGTTTAAAAAGTTGTAACAATGATGTTTATGGGGAATAAGAAATTATTTATGGCACGATAAATCTGTATTAAATTTGCTTTAAAATGCTTCTTATTTCATCGTGATGTCTCAATTCGTTCTTGAGATATGATATATCTTGAAAATTTATATTATATTAATAATAGTTAATAATAATGAAATGAACAAAATTATAACGAGAAACCTTTTACGATTGTGTAACAGGATCAGAATTTATGCTGCCATTGTAGAAATATATGGCTTAATGTCCTTTTCAGTGTATGTGGAGTACAAAACGGTTTGGACGTAAATTTTTTTGAATGCGAATAGAATTGTAGTATTGTCGTTAGGTTGTAATACCTTGTTTAAAAACGATTTATCCTGGTAGCCTTCAAACAGATTGTTCTGGAAATTCACGTCGTGCACATCGGGAAAAAAAAAATCGATAATCGGAAGGACGGATAATATTTGCAATGCGATTTAATTGACGCTTTTATAAATTGAAGGTCGCTTTGTTGACGTAACGTGCTTGGTTCGAGGGTATGAATTGATTTTCAATATGAAAAGGAAACTTCAAAGAGTTTCAATGCGTTAATTAAGCAAGCGTAACGAACTAATTTAATTAAAACGTGCGTCAACGTAAGAAGATATTTAATCAATGTTAGAAGTCTGGCAACTGTTTTGTTTAATTAATTCGTAGCATACCGTCGTCGAAGAATTAATTGTATAACTATAGGAACGTAAATACGAAGGGCTTATTTGGCGAACCCACTCGAAGCTTTGTTTTAAGCGAAAGCTTTGGCATTCGGACGCGTCGGCCGACGTCTCTCTACATTATCAATGCAACTTGCAAATAACGATGCTATCTTTGGCGGTAATGAAATCATTTCCGTGTCGGCCGCCGGCAATACGGTTGGATTTCAATTCTCAAATGCGAAGTCTCACCCGAGGCGGCGCTTTTAGGTATTGTTAAAATCATCCCGTTATTTTTGCACGAAGATATTCCTACAACACCGCGAATTCACCACCAACTTCCATTCTGCCAACACAACCCAACCGAACCGACGTCGCTTGATAAAAACTCTTTTATATAGTTTATATAGTGGTTGACAACTATTTAAACCAAAACTAATGAATAAAAGTTAAAGCAAATAATAATTTGCTGAAATGAAATATTTGTAGCTAGGAAACTATATGAAACGCGTTCCACGGCTTGTGTTAGATATGAGAACAAGAGTAATTTTGATATAGGTCTGTATTTGAGTCGTATACGTCGTCGTACAGGAAAGAAATGTCACGGAATTACGTAAACACGAATCTACAAGTTCTGTGCGGAAAGTTTGCAAGTTAGAACGGGTTTAGAGTACGGCGGTCTCCGTTTGGCACATTAGTCCTTTCCGGTCTGGGCCCTGATTAACGGTGGTCGTACAGGACGGATAGCAAAACGTTGGCTGGTTCTAATCAGCACGAAAACAAGCCGGGTCTTGTTGTGCCGCGTCACGAAACTGTTTGCCAAAACTATTTTTTCCCTAGCGTTATTTGCGCAAACAGTTTCTCAGCTTCGCGTTCATTCTTCCAGGTTAACTTTCTTAACACAATCCCCAAACGAACGATCCGTATATATATAATTCCCGGGACAAAAGCGAAAACTTCCTCTCCCAACGGTTATGCCTTTCCATTATTTTGATTAATTAATGCTACTGTGTCGATTTTTTCGTTCTTTTTTGTTCCAGAGAACTCATCGATTTTTCGTTACTAACCCTATGCTTTTGACAAGTGGGGTAATTGTATTGCTGGATAGACGGCGTAATTGGTGAAATCCGAATCCAGCAGATGACAGGGGAACCGACGAAGCTCCTGTTTTCGCGCTTATTGCAATTACACCTTAATTACTTCCTGTGCTACCGCCCATATGGCCATTATCAACCCAAATATCTGATATTTAAACAATGCCGCCGTGTAGTGCTCAACGCTCGTCCAATTATTAACCTCCAATGGCCCCTTCCGTTAATTATAAAGTACATCTCACCAACGTATACGATCCAAATACACTTCTTGCTTTATTTTCCTCTCTATTCCGTTATAATGATGAATGAATAAAGTAATGTTTTATTTACAGGTTAGTTGGTTACATCATAAAGAAGAATCAATGCATTTGCTTACCGTTGGCAGAAACGAATATAGCAGTGATGAACGCATAACTTTAAGTTTTCGTTATCCAAACAACTTTAGACTTGAAATAGCGTACGTGACAAGGAGGGATGAAGGTCTGTACGAGTGCCAAGTAACCACACATCCACCGAAAGTCAAGAAGATTTTTCTCAAGGTCACAGGTCAGTAACTTTCTGGCTTCATCTAACACGGTTGATTACTCACTGATACCCATAAGTCACGACTCGGGGATTTATTTCGTAGGCGTAAAGCCGACCTTTTTATATGTCTAAAGGCGGCATATAGAGCCCATATTTAAGGCGGAACTTTTATACACACAGCACGTAGTTTCCTTAGCAAAGTATACCCAGAAGACAGATTGCTTCATTGTCAACTTTGGTAAAGTCTTTAAGGCTATCTAAAATTTAAAATCTTCCGACATGTAATCGAGGTCGCTGGGCAATTTTAAATTTTAACGTTAAATATTAAGTGAATTAATACCGAGTGCTTTTAAAAGCCGGCAGTAGTAAAAACTTTGTTATTTTTGTTCATTTGAAACTCAAAAAAGAGTTATTATCTGGTTTTTCAAATATGCGCACCGTGAAACGGAGTCAATTTCAGCATTTTTGGAAATTATTATGCCCATATAATACCGAAATGGTGGACACCTAGTAGTTTTATGAAGTGTAATGGAATGTCCCGGTTTTCATATAACGCACAAGGGAAAAATACCGTTATGCTTTTACGAGCAGATAAGTCCATTCTTAGCGGATTAAATTAACGAAAGAGATTGATTATTTCCATTAAGCGAGGAAGGGAGTCTAATTTAAACTAATAAATGGCGGTGCAATTATTATGGATTTCAGCGATAAAAACGCTGTCAATTAAAGAAATTTAACTCTCCCAATTAGGACGATCCGCGTTCCTCTATTTAGAACCATTAAGAGAGAAAAGTTCGAGAGAGTAAAGTGTCGCTGACTCTCCCGTTAAGTGTATGGTAATCTTCTAAAGACTTGCATAATACATTGGAACTTTCCTCGAGGATCTCCCTCTCAAATCCAGATCGCATTAACATTTTAACTTTTATACAAACACTTCTTCATTCCGGTACGATCCGTTATCTTATCTTAACTTTATTTGTTCCAGCTCCGGAAATAAAAATATCAGACGAATCCGGCCGAACCGCCACCGAACGTTATTACAAGGCCGGTAGCGCACTGGAACTAACTTGCTTGGCATCTCAAATTGGAGGTCCGATGGAGGAACATCCTATAAGCTGGAAACACGGAGATCGCACGCTCAGCAAAGGCATCAGGTGAGTAAATATTTGTCAGATTATTTGGACACCCATTTTCTGTCTCGTTTTATTAAAATTTACACTTCTTTTATATTCTGCGAATACCAAGTAACCACTAAAAATCAAAATTCAATATCTAAATTTTAAAAGAATTGTCTCTGATGGTACAAGTCATATTCTCCCTTTATCCTTGTCTCCTGTACGGATAGTTCTAGAACAGCCAGGTTTGGCGATCGTGCACGTTCTTCGCCGGTGTTAATATTCAAGGAGTCGGGGCTTGGTAATATTCCCCGATCGCTGAATTCTGGGGCAACGCAGGGTGGGTTCGGGCAAAACAACTTGAGTGGTTATTCGAAAAAGTACGCCCTCTCCAGGTTTAGTGTCGAAATGCGGCTCGCCGAGTAACGCTTGAGCTCTGAGTACGCCTTTTGAGGTCTGTAAAGGAGCTCCGCACGTGGGAAATCAATTACCGCGCGTGTGAGAAGGAGTAAAATATCAACCCCTTCAAATTCTAAGTGCGCCACATAAATATACCACCAACAAGAGATGCTTCCAAATAGTTTATTTATTTTTAACAAATTTAAACTCATTTAGTTGTTGACTAGCTGAGATATATAGAGCCGATATGTTGAGTTAGTTCATTGGCGTATAATATAATAGGGAGATGTTTGCATTAATAACTCTTGCTAGGCAGAATGTTATCCTACGCATGAATTAAATCTCACAGCAAATAACATCCCTAGATCCCGGATTATCGATTCCGGGGTTGTTTATTGCACCCGACGCATTAACCCGGACTCGTGGAGGAAACCAATTCGAGGCTTGTTTTCAGAGAAAAACCGATCTAAACTCTCCTTACACGGTCGTATACAAAGCTCAAACAACACATTAACGTAATTCTGTACGATTTTGAAACTTGTGGTTTTAGTAAAGGTTTCGGTTAAAATCAATAAATCTGGGTTTGACAGTTCGTATAGTAGTGGAGTGTTAACAGTTTTACGGGTGCGGTCGTCCGGTTTATTAGCAATAGCCCGTACAGAGATATCCGAAGTACAAGATGTGAGCTTTTTGAGGAGAGGATGCCTCAGTGTCGAGTACTTTTTACAACGCTAGTAAAACCCGGGCGTGCAGTTGTAAAACTGTAGTGTATCGTGAAGATGGTAAACATAAAGCGATTAATCCAATTGATTGGGCGATACAATTCGTTTAGGAAAATCTTGTTTGAATGGAGCTCACACCTCGACGTGTCTGCGAATTAACTAATTAAACGAGAAAGCCTGTCCTTGCGCAAATCCTACACAGTATTAATTAAAAATAAGTTCCGCTCCGACTGCGAAAGTTTTTAAATGTTAATTGACAGCTTCGCGCCACGCCGAACTTCCGGTCGAAATATTTAACTGAATTTCCCAGCTTCGACTATTCACCGAGCGGAAAACAACGCGGCGACAAAAGTATTTAATTAATTTTTCGTATCCCGAGGTCCATTCGTTAGCGATTTAGCGAGCGCAATCGTGTTATTGTCCACTCCCGCTGTATGTGCTTAACTCGATCAATCTCGATTTCAGGGCAAAAAAAGAGTATTACGATAGTTTAAAGCTTTTAGAATGTCGAAGTAAATCTATCTGAACTTTGTATAAGTTTCAAGGGGTATTTTTCGGTTTCGGGCGATATGGCCGGGGCGAAGGAAAGTTCGAAATTGTCAAGTTAGTGCACTCCCCTCTAGGCTGCCTAGAAAACGGATCGGAATTCTGTTAACCCGTCCGTGCAGGAATCTAAAATATGAAAGTTTCACCAAAACCGAGGAGAAGACCTAACGCTTAATGTTCGATTACAGCTCCAACACCTCCGGCGGAGCCGATAGCGCCGTCTCTACCTTGACCGTCGCACCATTGGAGAAGAAGCATTCCGGAAACTACACATGCGCCGTTGGTACCTTGGCATTCTCTACGGTAGCCGTGCACGTCCTCAACGGTAAGTTATTACCCGAAAATCTGCCAAACTATACCATTAATCATAACTTTACCGAACAACCCCAGTCATCACGAAGTGAATGAATTTTTGCACTTTTTTAAAATCCATTTACACTTTAAACGATTCTTATACCAAAACACTTCATTACAAAACACCATTTAAAATTAAGAAGTATTATGTTTCTTTGTTGAACACTTTCTGAATTACACACTTCATATGTTATATCATCTCAACATAAGGAGGAGTTAGATAACCGTTCAGACTTTTTGCACATCTTGTCAGAAATTCGACTCATACTTTGTCATACACTATATTGCTGTGGCACTAATAGATAACTATTTAACAGGTAGAGCACAAAAGGTAAGAGTTGGTGATCGGGTATCGCAAGAAATTATTGTTGGTTCTGGTGTTCCGTCCTGGGGCCGCTTCTTTTTGCACTCTATACTTCTAGATTCGTAGTATGCTGATCAATCCAACCCAACCCCACGATACGTCTATGACAAAATTGCATTTAAGTCAGATGACGGAAGATATCCAACCAAGTTTTGTCTTAATCATACCACCTAAGTATAGAACATCATTGTTTCAGCGGTCTTTTACATACCATGTCTATAAATCTTACGGGAGCTTGCCAATGTCGTTTCGACAATTGAGAGACAGAGAGAATCTGTGCATTACTTTATGTGTGGTTCATTTAAACAATGGTAACTTCTTTACAACAATCTGTGATGTACTTTGGTTTGCGATCGTATATTAATGTGCTAAATAAGTGGATATGGTTCTCTTTCGCACACCCCCAAAGTTGTGTACCATATAAACATAGATTTTAAAATCTAATTAATGAGTTTCGAACTCAACTTCATATTAAGTGTATCGTCTGCAAACGTAGTCAATGTTATCTTAGTAATGTAAGATTCTTCAGACTCTTAATTAATTAATGAAACACAAAATATGTGAAGAATTAATATTTAATATTGGTTAATCTGCACTACCGGTTTCGAAAAGGTATTTTCGTCTTCAGGCGCAACTGAAAAAACGGAAAGATCGAAACTTAATACGACGTCAGGAAACATAAAAGTTAAATCTTACCGTCTATAACGAACGATGGACAGAAGAATTAAAAATCGCTCCATTTATTTTAAGAGTATATATAAACACATATCTATCCTAGTATTTATATCTTAGTATAGGTTAACAATTAAAATCAAAGAACACGACAAATCCACTATACATAAGATAAGAAAAATGCGGTCGGGTCAATAACAAACTGGTATATGTAACAACTGCACGTACGGAATACGAAACTCATTGCAAAACTGGTGTTTCTCGTTGCTGTGTAACATTTAACTTACTTTAAGGTTAAGTTGCATTGGAGATTATATAAACACATATCTATCCTAGTATTTATATCTTAGTATAGGTTAACAATTAAAATCAAAGAACACGACAAAAGCACTATACATAAGACAAGAAAAATGCGGTCGGGTCAATAACAAACTGGTATATGTAACAACTGCACGTACGGAATACGAAACTCATTGCAAAACTGGTACTTCTCGTTGCTGTGTAACAGCAATTATTTTTTTTGTTTTTGTTTTTTTGTGTTCTTTACACTGTATAGATCAAGTCAGAACCAACTTCTGTTGACAAAATTTTATAACTTAATATTTAATTTTAGTACCGTATATTACAATTAAAAATAGACAATAAATTGTTTTAGTAGAAAACCGAATGGTTTGCGTACAAATCCACTACAAACAAATTTATTTGTGTATTTCGATGTTTACATGTACGCAAATAAAATAAATAATCCTTGGTACAATTTGCAGAAATAATCGCATTGTGAGTCGTTGGAACTCGAATAGATAGAATTCACCGCTTAAAAACATGAAAGGCGATTATTCCACATTTTTTTTCAAGTGCAAAACGTTTAGTTTTTTTTTTAGTCAATTCCGATTGGAAATATGCATTGCGTCACTCCAAACTTTGCCTGGATTATTACTGCTTTTATATTGTTCATTTTGCGTGTTCGTGATTTATTGCTGTTGATTATTCGTGTCCGATTATGAAATATCTGTTTTTTTATGCCGTCCTTTTTAAGTAACCATCAAATTTTATTGAGAGATCAATGTTTTTCATTGATATATGACACGGAAAGGAATTTACGCGGTAAGTTTCGTTATTGTAGCTGTAAGGTAAGAGATGGCACGTGTCAGAAAGTTATGAAAGAAGTGCCCCGAGAAGGTCCGCGACGTAAAAATAGGGAAGTATTCCGGGAAGTCACGGATCTCCACTTACTCACAGCGAAATCAGGAGGAAACTTTCTGATCGCACTTTCACGAGGCCGACTGTGAACAAAAAACCGGAAAGTTGGAAATATTTAGCGCTCACTTATCTATGGATTTATTTTTCTCGTGGGGTTGAGCAAAAATCGATTGCAAACCTCAAGCTTAAAAAATTTTTTTCATTTTAATTAATTTTAAAAAATTGCATAATACAAAAATGTAAACGTGGAGTAAAAATCAAGTTGTACATGGAGAATGAGATTGGTCCCGTACGAGGAGGTTGTTGCATAAATTCCTGCAGACCGGCACATTCCTAAGTGTCCTGCTGGCGTTCTTCCCTCTAAATTTCCGCACCCCATTTGACTCGTTGAGTCTCACTCGTTCTCACAGAACACTTTGCATCTTTAACTGTTAACATGACGTAAATTGGATCGGCACTTTTCTTCAATTAGGGACCATTCGAGCATCAAAACGATACGATCCCTCGTTTCCCATTAGGTTTTGTTTTCAATACACGTTACACACGACATCTGTTCCAACTTTCCGAATTCCCCGCAGCCAGTTTCGAAACGAACAAACTACTAATTGGAAATTGCATTTCTACTCGAAAGGAGCATGTTTCTCGCTATTTTAGACCGCGGAAAATAAAAAGAAACGCATTAAAAATCTTTAACGTAATTCAGAGAAGTTGTTCCGATTCCCCTCATCCCTTGGGTTCCCGTCGACTCCCACCACTCTAAACCAACCCTCCACCCACTCATCGTGTGTACTGGGGTGTTTCGGTTTTGTTTTCCTCTTACGGAGCACCGCATCAGTAGAAATTGCATTTCCCGGGGAAAATTAAATTATATCACGTATAGCGCCCTATTAATTCCTTTATTTCAGTCCCGTTCCATTAGAATTTGGTCCTATTAACTTCTCGATTCGCGAACGTTGTTGATTCGATTATGTTTCGGTTGCAGAATATTCAATTTTCGATTTTCAAGTATTCGTAATCAATTTAAAATTTCCCGTTTAGCAACAAGAAAAATCATTCGATACGTCTTCGGAACAAACCTTCGAGACGTTAGATGAGAAAACGATTGAAATTGAAATGCAGGGTTAAGGGAAAGCTGCCGACCCTGTTCAAAGCGGATGGAGGTTAGATTAGATTAGCTAAAATACGTTCGGGTTTAACGAGGAAACGCAATTTGAATGCTCGAGAATCGAGTACAAAAGAACTTCGGTTGGGACTGTTTTCAAGGTGGGACAAGTTCCAATTTTCACCGATTAAGTTATTAAACCCACGGCGAAAAGTTTGTTTTTCAACCATAAATATAGAAATCCGACCTTGTCGAGGGTTGATTTATTTCGGGAGAAAATAAGACCACCCAGATTTATACGGCGCGGAAGGAAATATAAAATATATCACCGCGTATTGTGGGTCTAGGTGGACGATATTTTTTATTTATATCCCCAGATGTCGGAAAACCTCACGGACCGCGAACATCATCACAGTATCATTGTACGGGATTACACGATCGGTTTACAAATTCACGAGATCTTCCTTCTAAATCGATACAATGGGATGTTTTACCTCAACCATATCCGCCCCGGAAAACACCGTTTTTATATAAAGTATGCAACCAATGTCACACTATTGGTATTGCAATACGCGATTTGCGTTTTTGGTTGCATACTTGCAATGATAACGTCGGGTACGATAATTAATTAACACAGTGTTCAAAAGATTCGATTCAGAGGGAAGAATACTTTAGATAATATTAATACGCCAAATGCAAAATAGACCGCAGTGCGTTTCGGTACTCCTCGGCGGACTTCCACAACCCCACATAACGTTTTAATTAAATGAATACATGGGGACGAACCAAAACGCGTAGAATGGAGATTCTGTTAGTAAAATAAATTTACTTTCGCCAAATATTTGAGAAGAGGAAAAACTGCATTTTCCGCCCGCTTTGATACTGGCGCGTCGTCCCATGCATTTTAATTATTACGCGAATTAAAACCTAAAGTTATTTCACTCGGAATATACACATATATTATAAAATACCTAAAAGCAATTTTCAACACTCCTATCTATATAATTAAACGATTTTAATTACACAAGTAATGTTGAATTTTTATGGGCAATACTTTTTATTACACTAAAATTCCTCTAATTTCTTAATCTTACTTGAAAATGTTGCTTCAATTATACGTAAACCTTAATATTTCATGTAATTCCCAAAAAAATAAAGCAACCTCAATTAATTCTTAATTAATCACAATTATTGAAGCCAAGATCGCTTGAGGCCGAGGCAGTGCAATTTCAACATCAAATTACTCCTCGATCGCTAAGAATACCGCGATGTTATAACCTCAAGGTGACAGCCATAACGTGCCCTAAGTAATTTTGGCTAAATCAGTATACCGAGGTTACTTGCAACCGAGGTACTACAATATTAGAACTGAAAATTCAGGTCCATTTAACGTAAGACAAGCGATTATTTCGAAAACGGTTCAAGGTCATATGAAGGTCACGACCACTTTTTAAATGGCATCCTATGTTTAATCATTTTTTTATAAATAAACAATATTTAAAACTATTTGAATAAAAAAATTATTTAGATTTTGTCTACAAAAGATGTTTTCGGCAAAACCACACAGTAAATTTTTATTTTTTTTTAATTACTTTACTTTTATCCACAGATTCAGATTTTACAATAAAATATG